TGCTTCCCTACAGACACACCCCCAGAGAGATTCCTGAGGTTTCCTGGCTGCTTGTACCTGGATGGGGTGGTAGTCACACACCTGCTAAAGTGGATTCCGCTGGGAAGAAATTCCGTCAGCTGAACACTGGTGACGTCACCTCTCTGCTATGGCGGGCCCCAGGCTCCTTGCCAGAGTGTCCAAAGGGAGGGGTGGGACTGGTTCGTCCCTGGTTGGCCTTAGCTCCCGGCTCGCTATTTCATGAAGGCTTGGCTAAAGACCTCTTCCTGCCAAGCTGTGTCTCAGAGGCTAGCCACACAGTCACACTGGCTATGGGCAGGCGGCCGCACTGCGGTGCGAGGACAGTGGCTGGGGGTTCTGCACCTCTGCATCTCGTGGCGGGGAATCACTCGTCTGGGGCAATCTGTCACTTCCAAAAATCCTAGTAACTCCCGGCTGGTCTCTCTTCAGTGGAATTTTGCTAGGAGATTCTCCACAGGTAGAATCTAAGCGTATATTTGCATCTCTCTGACCCCATTACTGAGGGGGTACTGAAATCGCTGCCTCTCCGCCCACCGCCATGTTGGATCTCCTTAATTCTCTGGGACTTTGCCACATGTTTGTTCTTGACTTGAAATGCCAATTTCACTGCTGCATAATATCACTTCTGAAAGTAGTTCTATCAGATCTGTACTTTCTCTTCATAGAAAAATTAGAATATTCCAAAATTTGCATATCACTACCTGCTTTTATTAGTGTTCTTGAGAATGCCCTTTGGGCACATATGCAGGAATTTTCCTAGAATATATATCCAAGTAGGAAACTGCAAAGCCACAAGTACAAGGATGTTCAGTTCTATGGGATGGGGCTATATTTTCTGAAGAAAGCAGGTGTATCAGTTCCTGCTAAATTGCTAATGAACATGTTTTGACTTCCTCCTAGTAATGATACATATCAGAATTTTAAATTTTTTCAATGTATTATTTATGAAGAGGTATGTTAAAGTGATCTTAACCTACATGTCCATACTCAGTAATGAGATTAAGCCTGTTTTGAAAGGTTATTGACAATAATTATTGTGTATTCTGTGAAAGGACATTTTTGGTTCAACTTTTCATTAGTGGTATTTTCATATTAATTTTCTTTATACAGTTTCTGTCCTATAAGTAAAAGAATTTATTTCAACACTTTTTGTAATAGAGAAAAATTAGGGGAACACCTAATTTTCCATGACTAGAAGAATGGATTAAGATGATTATGATTCATTCAGCTAATGAATATGACGCAACTGTTAAAATCTTGAAATACTATGCTGGAATTGTTAATGTTGTTTCTAATCCTTCCTGCAGATTCTTTATATCTACAGAAATCCTAAAGATGTTTTGGTTTCCTATTTTCATTATTCAAATTGGGTGGCTATATTAAAGAATTCTGAAACTTTTGAAAATTTTATGAAAATGTTTCTAGATGGACAAGGTAACTCTATGTTTATTTATCAAGGAATTTAGGGAAGATATTTTGAGAGATAGAAAAGGGCAATTTTACAATGGATGCTCATGACACATCAACTTGGTCTGCCACCCAGTGGATTTTCCTTCCTTGCCAGGACCATGTGTGTCTTGTCAAGTTTTCAAAGGCATGTTGTTTAGAAAACATTTTGACTAGTCCATAAGAGGCTTACAAATATTCTATCAATTTAAACTAGCTACAAATATAATTAAAACAATACATTCCAGAATCACTAATGATCAGGGTGTTTGTGTACTCTCTCCTGGACCTGTGGTAAGCCTTCTAGGGCCATGGTGAAGTTTATCACTCCACTACTGATGAGGATTGACTGTTCTACTGGACTTGTAGTGAGAAGTATCAGGATCACACTCATTTAAAGATTACATTCAGGTTCTGTCTCATTGTAAACAGGTAGCTTTGCTATCCAGAGATCTTAGAGAATGAGAAGAAAAATGAACATGTGTGTTTTCTGGTGGATATAGGAAAGTGGAGGAACTTGCTTTAAAGAAATCTGATTTAAACTTAGACCCAGGGGCTTTCTCATTTCTTTATTGCTGCCTTCCTACATCCATAAGGGCAATTTCATGGTCACTTCTCTATGAAAACCATGATTGTTTCCCTAAGCAGTAATCATTTCAAAACAGTAATATATATGTCCAGTGGTTGGGCCTTTATTTTTGTTTTTGTGAGTATAAGGAGGAAAAAACAGAATACTTTGCTATTCAATAAGTGCAACATCTTCACCATGTTACTAATTATTTTTTTCTTTTTCTTTTTTTTTTAACTAATTATTTTTTTCACAGTGGTGGGAAGTCGTTGGTTTGATCATGTAAAAGGCTGGTATGAACACAGACATGACTTCAATATTCAGTTCATGAGCTATGAAGATATGAAAAAGGTAAAATAAGAAGTGTTTTTTAAAATTCTATTTTTTAAACCTTTTTTTCTCCTGGTTTCAGGAAAACTCATTCTTCTAGTCATTTTCATACATATATTATATGCTTTGGGAGTCAAGTGGGGGTTCTAATTTTCTGCTTATCCATGAATTATTACTAGTTTTCCTCAAGGGTTTGTTCTCACTACACACAGTCACCGTGGTTATCATGTAACAACTGTAGCATTAAAGGCAACCTCAAATATCTAGGATACCAATCTTGTAAATCATTTTTATTAATATTAATTATGTATTAACGGGTTTTGGTATCTGATTTCTATATGACCATACAACATGCACTGATAATATTCAATCTCCTTTATCCCACTCCCTTACCTCCCCTTCGCCCTGGACCCTTCATAGACCCTAGTATTCACGATTGTACTTTCAGTCAATATTTGTTGTTGTTTTCACGTGTGCTCTTGCACTACTTGTCTTTTTATGTCTGGCTTATTTTATTTAACATGATCTCCTCCAGTTCATAAATTTTTCTGAGGGACTACATTTTTTATATCAGAATAATAGTCCACTGTGTGTGTGTGTGTGTGTGTGTGTGTGTGTGTATCTGTGTGTGGGCCTGCACGTCATATTTTCTTTATGTGTTCATCTTTGATAGACACCTAGGCTGAATCCTTATGTATTGTGAACTGTGATACAATAAACATGGGCATGTGAGTTGTCTCTTCTATGTATGGTGACCCTGTTTCTTTTTGATACATACCCAGGAATGTAACAGTTGGATTATACAGTAGTTCTGTTTTTAATTTTTTTTTTTTTTTTTTTAGGATAGAGCATACACCAAACTTTTTTTCCATGGTAGTTATACTTAAGAAAGTTCATCAAGGAACACCATGACACTGGGGATAGAAGCCACTACAAAGACAGGATATTTGTTGCTATATATGAGAGTGACCCCTATGAGGCACATCTTCCTGTTTTTTAAAGAGAATCTTAAAACTAGTTCTCATGTGAACTCATAGGATGCTTACATGCTGGTGAAAGTTTTAAAACTGCCTGAAAATTTTATGTAATTCAAACATAATACAGTTGAAGTTTATTGTTCTGTGTACTCTGGTTGGTATGCTGATTCATTAATACATCATCTATTCAGTTACTTTAAAAATCATTGAATGATTGCTCTGTGACTGGCACTGAATCTTGAGTAATAGATGACTGAATCTTTTATAGACAGAATTCATATTCTATCAGGCCAAACAGATACTTGCCAAGCTAGTATATGTAGTTCAAGAGTAATAAGTGAAATTATTAAGGAAAAGTCTAACTATAATGTCAATGTGCATATGTACTGAGAGTATCTAGTATAGTTGATGGTCTTTTTTTCTGAAATAAATAAATAAGAGCTAACAGAAAGAAAAGAAATGGGAAAGACTTATAAGGAAAAAGGAAAATACATGAGACCTTTGAAGACCTAAGGGAAGAACTTGAACAATGTGGGAGAGATGAAAGATTATATAGAGGAATTTTGTAGGAGCCAGATTTATAAGATCTGTAGGCTATGTTAATGAGAGTGATTTGCTTAAAGTTAAAAATAGTAAGGAGCCTCTTAAAAAATTATTAAGAATGGTAGTCATAAAATATAACTCATATTTTTAAATATTACTTCCATTCATGAGTTGAAAAGGAAAAGTAGTGAACATAAGGATACCAGACTAGACAGAGACCAGTGTGTTAATCCACTGAACATCAGTAGTTCCTTGAAATGAAGTAATGTCATTATGAATGAGGAGAATACAGACTTTTGAGGCACAGTTAAGATGTAAAGAAAAAAAGATTGTACAAAGGACAAATGATAAAGAGAGAGGTATCAATGATGCTTTTTTATTTTCAGTTGGTGCATCTCTGCAGAGAGTGGTCTCATTTGTGAAGGTGTTTAGGGCACTCTGAGGCAGGATCAGGTTAGAGGGAGATCAGAGGTGCTGGAATATGATGTTGTTTTTGACCTATGAAGATTAAAGTGATCTAGAAGAAATCAAATAAATAGAGTGAGAAACAAAAAATACAAATCAAAAGCTCAAAAAAATTTCTGCCTTTAGATATTAATGCCATTAATTTGAACATCATCACTATAAAGAATATAATGGCAGTAGCTTGAGAGGCTGAAGCAGGAGGGTTGAGAGTTCAAAAGTAGCTTCAGCAATTTAGTGAGGCTCTAAGCACCTCAATGAAACCCTATCTCAAAATAGAATATAAAAAGGAATAGGGATGTGGTTCAGTGGTTAAGTGACTCTGGATTCAATTCCCAATACCAAAAAGAAAAAGAAAGAATGTATGAGAAGAATGAATGTGGATAAAATTGATTGGGGTAGGATGGAGTAAGGAAGTAAAGGAGAGAAGGAATATAGACCTTGGTCAAGTCAAGTTTTCAGCTTTAGAGCTCTTTCTAGAGAAACCTCACAATGTTGTCAAAAATTAGATATTCAAGGCTGGGGCTGTGGCTCAGTGGTAGAGTGCTTGCCTAGCATATGTCAGGCACAGTCAGCACCATATTTAAATAAATGAATAAAATAAAGGTCCATCAATATACAAAGAATATTTTTTTGAAAATTAGGTATTCATTAAAGTTGGAATACATTTTGGAGTCTTCCTTTGCTGCTTCCCTTGGAAATGTCTTGGTATTTTTAAAAAACACTGTCCATGCCTGCTTCTCCAGTGATAAAGCCAGCGAGACGTATAAACTCAGGGCAGTTTCTCTCAGAGGATTTTTCACATTTCTCACTTAATTAGTAGTGGTAGCCCTAGAACCTTAATGACTATGCAGGATTATTTTCTACTTTCCTGTCACAAGTAGAGTCGAGTGGTATATAACTGAACTAGAAGCAGTTATAACTATAATGTTTAAAGATTCATATTTAGGTGGCAAAAGTCAAGTTAAAAGACCAATAATTCATTATCATTTAATGAGGATGGAGGTTACCATTGGTGGAAGGACAAGGTTTAAAATGAGGAAAGGGTGTTTATTGGGTGGTTCTGGAATGCGTGTCATTTTCATATGTGTATTTTAAAATGTAAAAATTCTGGAAATACTTTAATTTACCTTAAGAGAAATGATACTCCCCTTTGAGGGAAGTCTTATATGAAATATTTAATCATTCCCATCCTGTTATCTTTTCCTTCAATATATTGAAACTGACTGATGCCTCTAGGAAAGAAATGCATACATACCTAAAGGGTATGGGGCAGTTGTCTTTGGAGACCCCATAAATAAAGTGGTAAAGAAGAGAGCTGCCTGTGGTGTTACATGAAAAAACATTTTGTGAAATATGGCTAGAATATTGGACAGCAATAGGTAGTAGAATTAGGGAATGGCTGGTGTGCTGAAGAACTGGCCAAAGTGCAAGACTGTAGCAAGACCTAGAAAAGAATCTCTGAATCTATGTTATGGTTTAGATATGATCTGTCCCCCAAAAGCTCATATGTGAGACTTTGAAAGAAAAGTTTAGGGATGATATATGATAGGATGATAAAAGGCCTGACCTAATCAGGGCATTAACCCCCTGAGTGGTAATTGTAGGCAGGTAGGTAGGGTAGAGCTGAAAGAGGTAGGTCATCAGGGATATTCCTTTGAGGTATAATGTCATGAGTTGATTGCAGCTCTCTCTGCTTCCTGGTGAGATGTCTTGAATCACTTTTCTCCACCACATTCTTCCACCATGATGTTGTGACTCATTTCAGGCCCTGTGGAATGATGCCGGCTGTCTATGGGCTGAACCTCTGACACCGTGAGCCCCCAAACAAACTTTGCCTCCTCTAAGTTTATTCTTGTCAGGTCTTTTGGTCACAGCAATGAAAAACCTGACTAAAACAATCTGTGTTTTATCTTCCATTAAAATTATTCACCAAAGTCTACATTTCAATTAACATGCTGGGGTTTAGCTGATATTTTGGTTAATAATAGTTAGCTTTCCTTATACAGAATACATGTATGATGTTGTGAGGAGAAAAAGGAAAAGTAAGTGTGTCACATTAGATTGAAATAGAGAGAAATGATGGGAAGAAAGGGGAGGGGAAGGGGGGATAGGAAGGGCCGCAGAATAGAATAGACATTATGATTGCTGTATGTATATAAGTGACTCTATGACCAGTGTGATTCTGCAATCTGTACAATCAGAAAAATGAGAATTTATACCCAAATTAATTCAAATGTATGAATTGCCAAGATCATTGTAATGTCATGAGTAGCTAATAAAAAAATAATAGTTAGCTTTGGGGAAAAGATTTTAATTTTGTCTCTTATTTTCTTGTATGTGACAAGCATAGATGTTTTGAAATTCTTTCGGATAATTTCTACATTCGTAACATCTCTAGTTCTATTTTTATTGTCTTTTTTATGCTAGAGCTTGTTCACATTTTCTATCCCTTTGTATTCATTTATATCCTGATTTATCTACTCCCAAGTTTGGTGTAGAAATAAGTTAATAACTGTGATATTTGAAACCAACCTTGCATGTGACTGAGTCACACTCCCCAGCCTGGTGCTCAGGCACTCAATCACAGAAATGTGGCAGAGCTTTCCTCACCCTTCTTGGGTTCAAGGGATGGTGTCTTGTGCATGGGCATGTCTTGCTACAGTCCCATGGGTGGAGCTATGCTCACCTGTTGCTTTGTAATATAACCCCTTACCCTGTTTAATAGAATCTTCCATGGAAGTACCTGTGTGTGTTCCTTTCTCCTACTGTGCCTTTGGGTGTGGCCTACCCAGGTGTCAGTCAACCTGCTGATAGTGGACATCATGATGATAGACTCAGCCCCCTGAAACCTGACCCCTTTCCTCATATAAATAGCTTCTCCTCAATAAAAGGGGTCAGGGCATGTGTGCTCTCTCTCTTCCTGCAGACCCTTAAGGTCAGAGGAGCCATCACAGCCACCCCAAAGAAAAAGGTGTTTGTGTCCCTTGTGTGGTTATTTTGCACAGCCCAATTAGTCCAGTTCAACTGGAATAACCCCTGAGCCTTTTCTGTGGACCTATTATTTTATTCATCCTCTCACATTAAAAATTTTCCGCTACAAGAATACAACTAACATACTCAGGAAGTTAGCAAGGCTCCATATCCTCTGTCCCCAACCTGCCAACTCATCTCCATTTCTTGTGAGCACATAGTGTGTCCAGCACTTTGAAGTTCACATTTCATAGGGGTAGGGGTTTCAGGTTTCTGTAGTAGAGGGCTCTTTTTTTATTATTCACAAGAGAAATCCTTGCTTCTTGAATTGAAAGAAAAGTTCCTTTCTCATGAAAATTGTTATAACCTCTTTGAGATACAGTTTTTCCATTTAAAGTACTATTGCCTATAGTAATTCTGTTTAGGTTTTATCCTCCCACTGAAATTTTTACTTGTGATAAAATATCTATGGACATAAAGTATATTTTTTACTTGTGATAAAATATCCATGACATAAAATTTACCACTTTAACCTCTTTGAGATGGGTATCAGGGATTGAACTCAGGGGCACTCGATCACTGAGCCACATCCCTAGCCTTATTTTGTATTTTATTAGAGACAGGGTCTCACAGAGTTGCTTAGTGCCTTGCTAAATTGCTGAGGCTGGCTTTGAACTCACCATCCTTCTGCCTCTGCCTCCTGAGTCCCTGGGATTACAGGCATGAGCCACCGTTCCCAGCCTGCTTTAACCATTTTTTAAGGGAACAGTTTTGTGTCATGAAGTATGTTCATATTCTTGTGCCAACTCACCACAATCCTAGTCTAAAATGATTTCTTATTGCAAAACTGAAACTCTATATTCACAAGGCTATAATCCTTCATTTTCCACTCAGCCCTTTGTAGGTTCTGTAAAAAACCATTCTACTTTCTTTGTTTACAAAGTTTATTAGTCTTAGGGGAATCATACAGTATTTGTCCTTTTTGACTGGCTCATTTAACTTACCATAAT